TAAAAGTTACAAATATAATAAATTAAAATATATTACACTTTTAACAAATATTTTAGATTAAAATATTTTAGAAATAATTAAAAAATAATACACACTTAGAGTTGTAGTGGTGAGTTGATGTGAATATGTTCATGTGCAACGCTCACCCAGAGCAGCTTTATCCAGACAGTGTAGTTCAGTGTGAAAGCTGTGCAGTTGAGGATATTTTTCTTGTATGATGCTGACGATGAAATGCAGGAGTGTCAGTTTTCGATCTGTGGATTTCATGTCCAGAAGCTGAGAGCGAAAATGTGAGAGATGCGCAATAAATTGACAAATCGTTTATCATGAACTGATCAGATTTAATGCAATGTAAGTCACTTTGGATAAAAGTTTCTGCCAAATGCATAAATGTAAATATTTTATGTGTATTTCATGTGTAAGTCAAAAATGCTATTTACACAAATATGCATAACATACATGATAAAAAAATACAATTAAACAAAAGCAAATGAGACATGCATTTATTTTACCCTATATATATACATATACACACACACACACACACAGTATATTTATGGCACAAAATTAGCTAAAATTACACTCTAAACATTATTTTTCTAAGTTGTAAATAAAGATTATTGCACTATTTTTTTGTTACAAGAAAATACTATTTCAGGGTTTTTTTACTTCAAAATATTAAAAATATTTGTTATTTGTAAAATTTACTACGGTTTTCTCAGTGAAAACTGTTTCATAGCAAATCCTACTACATTTTTTTTTTCAGTGTATAAACACAATGTGAATCATCTATTGAAAAGATAGATATTGGAAGTGACACTGATCAACTAAAACTGTAAATCTGCTTTATATGCCAAAATCTCATTTTTGTAAAGATGTTTTGTCTCACCAGGTCCAGACTTTGGAGTCGAAATCCATATGCTGGTCCTCTCTTCCCACTGTTCATGTAATTCCCAAACGCAAGAATGATCTAGGAAAAAAAAAAAAGATCAACTTTCACTGCAGAAATGATTTTATGCAGATGAAAATTGATTCTCCTTACCTCTAGAATCTTCTTGAGTTTGCTGGAGGATTTGATTGACATGGATGCAGCTATGATGGCATTTAATTGCTGTAAAATAAGACCAGGATTTTTTTTTTTTTTTTTTTTAAA